CCCCGCTGCGGCCACTCCCAGAAGCAGCTGCAGTGATCGGCTGGAGTGAATGGCGGGATTGGCTGCGGGGGTCCCCCGGGCAGCAAGATCGGCCACGGGGGACCCCCACCCCCTATGGTCCTGGGTAGGACTGGTTGCAAGGGGGCATGTGCCCCCCTGACTAAGACGGCATCAGTCACCCATCCTTCCAGGGTCTGTAGAATCTTGGCAACCTCCAGACTTTCCAGAATCCCAGGTCAGCCAGTGCAGGAGTCTGGGACACTGAGACCTCAAACCCAGGAGCAATCTACGTGGTGGAGCTGTCCCAGAGCCAAGGGTCCTGGGAGTCGCGCAGCTGGTGCATAGAATTGACATTTTTCTTTGGTTAGTTTTCTTGCTGCTATGCAATTGATAGTTCCGGTTCATTCAGCAGTTGCAGGGTCCCAGGCAGAATTATATAGTTTTCAAAATACTATGCTTTGGTGTTTCCAAAACAAAACTTGTGACAAAATCTGACTTGCAAAAGCATACTGAAAAAAAATTGATTTTATTTGTATTTGAAACCAAAGCCAAAATGTCAAAACTTCTCAAAAGGTACAAAGCCTGAATTTTGGCTCAGTTGTTCCTTGCTCACCAGTCCTTTGCATAATCCCCACCTGGCATAAGCTATAGGAAATCCAGCCATTTATCAGGCAGGATACTTTTATTCTGTACATGTGAACACTGTCTGCCTGTGTTGAAAGCCAGTGTCAAGGCTGTGATGTAACCTTTGAATAGAATCACAGAGCAGGCCACATTTTTGAGATGCCTATTTAGTGAGTGCTGGAGACCTTTTTGTCAAGGATGATCTTAAGAGAGAATGTCCTGTATTAAAATCAAACATGTCATTAATACTTGGTACAAATTATCTAAGGTTTTCACGGACACGAAAAGCTGCATTAGGAGATGCCTCCATCACTTTTTTCCCCTTTACTATCAAATTCTCTTTGTGAAATAATTAATGTTTCAGTTTTGCCCGTTATTTACTGATTAACACTGACTACCTCATTGTAATATCTTTCTTTCTCTTATTCACTGCACATGCAGTTCATATGCACCACTGTCAGAGAACAGAGGCCTGTATGCTGGAGCCACAGTGCTTTCTTCTCCCAGTACAGAGGAGCTATCGCAGGATCAGGGGGATCGAGCTTCACTTGATGCAGCAGACAGTGGTCGTGGCAGCTGGACTTCTTGCTCAAGCGGTTCTCATGACAACATACAGACAATACAACACCAGAGAAGCTGGGAGACTCTTCCTTTTGGACATGCTCATTTCGATAATGCAGGAGATGGGGCAGGATTGTGGGCCTCAGGCAGTCATATGGACCAGATGATGTTCCCCGATCATGGCCCAAAGTATGGCAGGCAGAGTCAAGGTAGGGAGGGCCTTGATCAAGCACAATCCAGAGCAAGCTGGGCATCCTCCACAGGCTACTGGGGCGAGGACTCAGAAGGTGATACAGGTACCATAAAGCGGAGGGGTGGGAAGGATGTATCGATTGAAGCTGAAACCAGTAGCATAACATCTGTAACAGCAGAGGAGACAAAGCCAGCTTCCATGCCTGCTCATATAGCAGTATCATCAAGTAGTGCAAAGGGTCTTATTGGTAAGTTAAGTTTTGTTTACCGGGAAGCAATCTATTAATTTGTATATACTCCTGGATTTTTTGTAGTAATAATTTTCTTTTCTACTGATTTGTTTTTATAGCAAAACCAGTCACTTCATAGTCTTTTTCCAAATTTTGCCCTATAATTGAGTGTTTACTGCAAGGGAAAATGTAGTTTTATACTGCTGATTTATTCTGAGTAATAGTGGCCACTTGTTCTTATTTTGTGAGTGGTCACAAAACATAAAGACATTAATTCAGCTCTAGGTCAGTATGTCGAGATATTAATACAGTTAGGCTGCTGTTGTCAAATGTGAATGATTAATGTGGGCCTCAAAGTCTGTACATAGGCACTGCTGGGAAAGTGGCCTGATTTCCACCTTCTACTCCCAAAGGGCTTTGCTTTGCAGGTCCTTGCAATTTTAGTAGTAGTTGTGGATACTTTATCACCTCTAAAATGGGGTCGTTTTATTCCCTCAGCCCTCTTCACTACTTCACACTGCCCTTCTCTTAGAATAACTTATGATTGGGTCAGTGCCTCAAACTGGATGCAGATTTGAATTTCCTTAAACTTTGAAGGACAGGTCTTTGCATCCAGGGTCTTGGTCATACCAGTCTAATATTGCACCTCTCATTCATTCAACATGATGCTAGATGGGAGTTGACAGGTATGATTCCAGACTGGCTGTCATGTAAGGCAGCCAAGCATTCCACAAGGGGGCCTACTTCTAAAATATTCAAGCTGATAAAGCTTTAAGAAATGTAAGACTGAAAGCTGCAGTGAAATTTATAGCCAGTCCAGCACCACTGGAGAAATTGCTCCTGCATTTTTATACCCCACATACCAGTTCACCAGAGAAGCACCAGGATGCAGCTTAGTGGGTTGGGTCAGTTCAATTATATAGGCCCTCTACACCTGTCATTTAGACATTAATTCAGCTGTAGGTCAGTATGTCGAGATTATTAATATAGTTAGGCTGCTGTTTTCAAATGTGAATAGGAAAAGGAGTGAGCGGGATCAAAGTGAAATAAAGTAATGAAGCAAATTGTGGATGAAGTAGGGTCAACCCTATAGTTCAGTGCAAATCAGAGTTCATCTGTTTGTTTTATTTTTTTAGTTTTATATCCTGCTCTCTCCTAAGACTGAGAGTGGTTAAGGCACTAAATGGCAGGAGAGAAATACAGATTCCTTATCTTTTCCAAAACACAAAAAGAAGCAATGGGAATGAGGGGGGAAGGGAGGAAAGAAACACATAGGAAAGGAAGAGAAAGCATAAGATTTGGGGCTTGAGCCAAGGGAGAGAACAATAATGTATTTCATACTGCATTATTTTGAGTAAGTCTTTGTAGGAGATGATCACCTCTTAGCCAACTTCTTTTCAAATAATAAATGAGAATGTGCGACAGCTTGAACCAGTCACTTGGACCATTAACACATCAGTGATGTTAATATTTTCTTGCTGGCATTTAATGTCAGTACTATTGCTTAAATTTTCTTATGAGTTGAAGAGCCAGATCCTCAAAAGGTCTTATGTACTGAAATCTCACAAAACTGCTATATTAGGTGCCAAATCAAAAATATAGGTTGTAACCTTCGAGGCACAATTCATAAGCTTTCTCTGCTTCTCCAGTGAAGTTCCCTGGAAGTTCACTGGATGATATAATCACACCTGAGCTGTGGTGAGCAGCTAGGCACCCAAGGGCCACTGAAGACCACCAAACAGATGTTCTTACCTCAGGGTTCAATTCTGTTTGTGTAAACTGGCCGCACCTTCCACAGTGGACCCTGTATAAAACACAGCTGGACAAGGAGGAGGAGATGATGTTGGTTGTTGCAGTACCCACTCAGCGTGTGGTAGACTTAGGTTCAATACCCTCCTCTACCTTGAGGGTATTTGAACTGACATTTTGTAAAACATTTAATCCTCCATTAGATAAGAAACTGGAACTCAGGTGTCTTTTTATTTTCCAGCAAATACTCTATCCATTAGACCCATGATGCCTGACCTTCTGGACCTATGGGTGGATGAGTGTGCAGGCCAGATCCAATGCTAGGTTGCCACATAGGATTGGTCACCAGTTGCAATCCTGCATGTTGGTCTGGTCCCAAGTGCCCAGATCCAGCTGCAGAACAACCCTGCGTACCAGTCCAACTGCACATTGGTGTACTGTGCTGCACAAGGCCGCATTATTTGGCCTGTAGGCCTTTGCACAGGTCTAGAAATTTGGCAGGAGGGAAAGGCAATTAACAGCATATCTGCTCCCCTGCTGCCATATTTCTGGACCTTTAGGAAGCCCTGCTGGCTGGAGATTGAGCATCACTGCACAAGAAAAAGAACTGATGCTCTTTTGGCCCACTGCTCGTGGGGCACTGCATATTCCACAAAACCATTTCAGCAGGTAACATTGAGAGAGCACCAGGGTAGACCATTTCCTCAGCATTTCCCATTGGCTTCTCAGCACACTAGCTTTTGTGCATCTCATTCTTCCTAGGTGCCTGACTTCCCTATGCACTAAATGCAGGCAGCCTCACTGCCCAACTTACAGCTGCAGATAGTTCCAACTTACATTCCACTAGATAGTAAGACACCAAAAGGTTAAGTGATGCGTTGCTGAGCATTGCACTTTCAAAGATCTAATCTAGAGTGCTCACCTTGGTGCCCTCATTCAGTCTGTCTAGATGTTAAAATATTGCTGCAGTTCTTATAGCTTGTTTTCTGAAAGAGATGGCTAGAAATATGCTCCCTCTTTATCTATTTAATGCATGTTTTTCAGTAGCATTTATATAGAACTTACATTTCCAAATATCTTATTATAAATATTCTTACAATTATTTTCTGTAAATTGGGATTTATTTTTCCTTCTCATCACTTCAGTCCTCCCCCTATAAGCCTGTAATTCTACAGACATTTCTGAAGCATCTTAAAAACATTCAGTGTTTTTAATGGCGTTTAAAAATTCTGGAGATCTTTCCAGTTTCTTAAGTTTCCAAATGTTATTGGTGGCCTGTCCTGTCTGATCTACATTTCTGACATTTGTAGGTAATGTATAGAGGTCTTTGCATCCTGAAAAACATAATATTAGAAACTAGCATAAAACTGGGTAAGCGGAAAGGGTTTTTTTTCCCCACTCTCAATACCATAGGCATACCATTGCCATTTCATCTAGGAATTATATATTTTTTAATGAGATGACTGGACTCCTTTGTGGTTTGAATTTGTGGCTGCACCTGCTTTTTCCCCAGGACTGGCAATGTATTAAAACAGTCTACTATCATTGGTCCATTTTATATATGCATTCTGCGCTGTGTGTAATTCTGTAAATTGTTTGATTTTTAATATGCAACATGTTGATTTAATGTGTAACTTTTTGCAGGACTGGAGTCCACTTACTTTGTGTACAGTTTAGTATGTAATAAGATATTTTGTCAAGTTAAAATCTGGAGGTTGGCTTTTGCATAAGAATTCCCTACATGACAGAAATACAGTCATACGGCACATGCTGTATTTTGCCAACAATGCTGCTTATGATTCCTTTTTCAAGATATATTAATTGCATGCTATTTAATACTAGAATCTTCTTCTCTTTGTAAATTGACTCTTATTTGGGTCCATACCTGTTGGACTGAAGCAAGTTTTGACTGATGCAGTTTTATTCTACTTGTTCTTGTTTTTCCTCAGCCATCATTTCTAATAGTAGTCTGCTCTATTTACTGCAGCCCGAAAAGAGGGCCGGTATCGAGAACCACCTCCAACTCCTCCTGGTTATGTAGGAATACCCATTGCTGACTTTGCGGAAAGTATTTCTCATCCTGCCAGAAAACCTCCAGATTACAACATAGCACTTCAGCGGTCTAGGATGATGGCACGAACGTGTGAGAGCCATGGGTCTTCAACTTCGCAGCAGCAATCACATGGTCATTCAGCTAGCAGGCCTGTGAACAAACCTCAGTGGCATAAACCAAATGAGTCAGACCCACGTCTTGCTCACTATCAGTCCCAAGGGTTTTCCACAGAAGAGGATGGTAAATTCCTAATCATACTTTCCAAATATTGAGCAAGATTTAGATTTTAAAAGGGCATCAGCACTTTTTCATGCCCTGGAGTTTCCCTGGGTAGAAGCTATGTCTTACACACACACACACACACACACACACACACACACACACACACACACACACACACAAACACACACACACACACACACACACACACACACGGAGAGAAATTCTTGCAATAAATTAATGTTGCTTTATCACCTACATTTTAAAAACTTCTTTGATCTTCCTTTTGTTAATGGCACAGTGGCTAAATTAATTTAAAGCTGTTGTGTTTAAGCAAGTTTTATGTGTAGTTTTTAGTGAGTTGAACCTTACAGTTGAGCATAGCAAAACTTTTAATTTCATAAAAGTGCTGCCTCAGGTATTTTTCATGTGCATGTGACTGGGAGAGTACATCACTGTACCTGCAGAAGTGTTGATGTTTCCAGTAGGGA